GATGGTTACTGCATTAACCTTACGAGCATCAAGACAGAACCTAACTTTTCCTGGCTTGACGACGAGTGTGACTGGAGAGGACCACGGCGATGACAGAGCTTCTTCCACAACACCTAAATTGATCATGCGGTCAACTTCTTCACACAAAAGTTTCTCCTTAGCCGGAGATAAAGGGTAAAACCTTTGCTTAATAGGTTTGGCATCTGACGTGTCAGAAATCCATTCCACAAATCACATTCTGTTGAATGGACGGTACTACTAGAAATTCAAAGTCTTCTTGAACTGAGTTATACGTCAAGGGTATTATTATCGTTCCAGCAACGCTTTTCTTGTGGCCGTCTGCTGTATGTACTACGCCTTTTATATAATTAAATTGCATTTGTTTGGAGATAACTTGTTCCGCCAGTGTTCCACCAATTACGCTTTTGCTGGCCCCACTATCTAAAAGTGCTAAATACGAGGTGCCAAATATCTCTATGCTAGTAAAAGGGCGTATATCGTTACTTTTATATACAATGGAAGATATTTTAAATTGAGCCAAAATTTACTCATGCGTAATGAAGAACGATGCTTTGGAACAGCATTGAAAATCTCAGCTTTCCGTTGCCTAAATTCTTGTAATCGTATATGATATGGTTTGAATGGAAAATTACTTGTTACGTCTGGTGTATTATTTGGTATGTCTGGTAATGCTTGAGATGAAACTGTATTTGAACCCAAGGCTAACGTCGGACATCCCCTATCGAAACACGGTGGACATCCTGTGCTGAGTTTTCCGATATCGGTGTACATTTAACACAGTTGGGCTTATAGGTATCAAGTAAGCCACACCCGTAGCAGAAAACACGACGAGGTTTTAAACAATCATGGTATCTATGACCTTGCTCGTCACAGTTCCAACATTTCAACTTATTTGCTTGGTGTATCGCGCAGACCTGATCGACAATTTCAAAATCCTGTTCTGGTGGTTCATCAAAATTCTCTTCGTGATTGATCGAATTAATAAATCGCTTGGGATATGGTTTCGTTCTGAGGTGACGATAGAATTCTTCGTGGCGATGACATTCCTTACGTAAAGTGGCTAAGTCTGGTGTATTTACGTGCAATAATTCAAGTTTTTATTCTGGCTTTAAGTTATGTCTAACTTCTATAATTATGTCACTTTCTAACATGGGATCTCTTAATGAATCGGCAATTGCTAACATTGCATCGAGGAATTCGTCAAAGCTCTCATTATTGCCTTGCTTCCGACACCTCATTGCATTTTTAATATCTCGGTCAGTTCGCTGATCTTGATATCTCTCTCTCAAGCGGTTACACAACTCAAACCAATCCATATGACCTACGGTCCTATGAACTCTCCAAAAGAAAGAAAGAGCAGGTCCGGAAAACAATAGTTGCAAATCTATTGTACTGGTACAATAACTCAAAGTTTCCATCGAAATATTGTGAAGTCAAACAATTTACTCTGTATATAAAATCTTCGATTGGGATGTCATTTGCAGATCCCGAGAATTTTAATTTCCAATTAGAAATAACATTTGAAATTCTATCAGGACGATCAATCGTAAATTCCTGTGTAGTGGCTCGAACATTGGCCGTTCTATTTCTTTGACTATGGTCGTGTCCAATGATTGAACGCGGACCGCCTAAATGAATATCATTTTCCCATTCAAGTTGTGGCTCTTCTCGGGCTTCTCTTGAAAGGCCAGATAAAGACAAATTCCGTACTGCGGCGCTGATCTGGTCAGTTACTGACGCCGTAATATTTAGCCGATAGTTTTCTAAAGAATTAGCAATTATTTGTTGAATACGGTCTTCGGATATGGTATTAGTCTCGGAAGCCTGAACACCTGGTGCATGCCTTATGCGCGAACTAGATGATGGCTGCATATTTCCTCTACTTGGAGTATTTCTATTTTGTGCTCTCGTTGCCTGCCGAGTTCTAGGGGCGGCACCTGACTGAGTGTTACCTACTGGAGCAGGAGGTCTCCCAACGACACCTCCAGAATTTGATCTAGGTTGTGCCGAGAGATTATCGGAGCTCTGTGCAAGCGTACAAGGCTGCCTACAAATTGGGCATGAGTTGTTATTACTCAACCACTCTGATAGACAGTTCCTATGAAACTTATGCTTGCAGACGGTTTCGGTGAAACCTATTTCTGAACTTGTGTCATTACAAATGGTACATATAACAGACTCGTTCGGTACGCCTGATAAGCTGACTAAGTCCTCGGTACTACGACGTACAGCCATGACTATGAATTAATGAAAAAAAAATTTTTTTTCTCATAAGAGTATAACAATCTCGATGTATCGATAGATAAAAGATAGTTGCGAAAAATTTATTAAATGGGACTTATCCATAAGCACTCACACAACAATTTATGTATACATGCATAAAGCAGGGCATCTCAACGGAAAATACTGAAACTATTTAAAAATCAAATACTGAGGCTTACATTCCAAATTGAAGAGGGACATGCCGAAAATATCCACCTTGAACAATCTCGATTCTATTTAGAATGAAATATAATACTTAAATACTTTTTACTTGGAAAAGATTCGACTACCAATCAGATCTAATAGTCCTAAGCAATTAGATATTTAACGTAATATTATACTTGAAAGATTTATGACTGCTTATTACAGCAGACACAAACTTACAATAATCTCGTATTAATTGACTGCTGGTCTGACTACGGCAATACCCTTAAAGTCAGCTTCTCCTAGCTAGATTCAAAATATACGGTCGGAAACTAATAAAAGAACGTTGGATGATTATGCGTGGTTTAAGGAGAAAAGGAATATTAGAAGGGAATTTTGGGAAGCGCGGGGTGTTTAGACATGAAGCTTAAAATTTCTTCTTCTTCGGGCGCCCCACGTTGGGCGCCATTTTATCTTATGTAACGTGCACGACATCATGCGGTCTCGGCAACACCTCTGTCTACTATAGGGGTCCAGCCGTGCTCAGGGCTAATGGGGGGGGGGGGGGGGGGTTCTTTGGTGCTGCTTTCTCCATGGCCGTCACATAAATAAAAATTCGTAGACAGATAAGGAATGAATCCAAAAAGCCACTTGTATTACCTTGAGATGCGTCTACTTTATGTATTTGAAGAACCAAGATGAAAGTGTTCTTCTTCTATACCCTCCCTACCTGTAGGATCGGAGAAATTATAGGATCCTACCCTTTTTGCAATTGAGGTGTGAGATACTTTAGGTGCCCATAGGGAAATTAAATTATATCATGTTCTCTTCAAAAATAACCGCATATAATTCAAGAAAATTCATCTTTAGAAACAATTCATATTGATTAAGATAGGAAGTTTAAGTAAGATAAGGAAAATAAGAAGTGTTTTTACAAAATTACTTATAATTAGGAAGTGATATATACAAGAATAAAGGTGAATAGTTAAGTATACTAACAAAATGTACGCCGCATTCAATTATAGGCGTTTTAAGTAAACAAACGTTTTCTAGCAGATTGCTATGCTATTGTTGCACTCAAGTTAGGACCTTTTACACTTAATATTTTCGACTGTGCCGTACTTACAACATTCAGAGTCCATCGATGTCAGCAGGCCTGTTGACGATGATTGGCTGTTGATACTAATTGGCATATTATGTTTGCAACAATACACTCATAGCGCACCGAGGCTTTATAAGACGTAAAAAGAAAACAGAATTAGATTTAACCTATTAAATTAAGATTATTTGTAAATATGACTTATCCCATCGATACAAAGATTGTGGTCTGTGTGTCTCTTTCAATTAGGTGCGGTCAGATCTAAAACCATTTGAAGTGGAGGTGGATTTGGCAAGCGCCGACGCTGCGATCTGGGCTGGGTAAGCGTACCAAAATTTCGCAAAGCGTTGGTAGCCCAAAACAAAAGCCACCAATATATGTCGAGGCAGTTTCGCTGGTGTAAAGGTATGCTTGTTAGAAGCATTAAATTATTGACATTGCACGAGGCTTACCTGGTGTAAATTCCAAATTGCACCAAAATATAAAAACAATCAAAATAATCACGGCGGCGCGCTTAGGTGGGGGGGTTTTAAAATAGTCCGACACCTCGAATAAATCGCACAGTTTTTATATGGAGACGATGTCTTCAGATTAAATATTTTGGTCTACCACGTGCCCTTATTAAATATTATAAGTGCTTTAGAGCGACGTGCATCCGATCTTGAGTAAGACTTGAGCAGAAATAAATCATCTGCTTAAGCCGGAAATCTAATTAGATTAGGAAAGCTTATTTTTGGCAAATAAAAAGCTTTGGAATGCAACAGCTGCGCATGGGCAGTCGGCTGAGTGGAAGGCTTTTAGAGTTGCACTCCTACGATCGCGTCCAGAATAAATGAGCACGTTTCCTTTACTTGGAAGTTTTACAATAGGGTCCATAATAATCAGTACTCATTTTATTTGGGTCAAAATACTTGCACCCTCACAACTTCCATAGAACATCCATAAAATACTGGAGTCATACCTAGAGCAAAAGACTTGTAAATGAACAGCCAGAGCTTTGAACAGATAATTGTAGGATTTTTTATCTCCTGGAATAAGCACTACGGGTTCTCTACAGTGCTCTAGAATAAAACGCTATTCTCAGTGCCGTCATGTAGTTCATGATTCAGGACACTCCCGAGTCCGTAAGGCGATGCATCACATGCTAGTATGTATGTACTCACATTTGGCAAATACCTCCAGTTTCATCATTTCATTATTCAGAGTTTAATGGAAATTATAGCCATATTTGTAATTACTGCCCAAACGTTACCCACATCTGTTGTTGTTTTTGCTGCTTTGGTTCAACTTTGTACTGCATACATGCTTAGACACTTATAGACTCACATAGACAAAACTCTTATGTAAATGAGCAGTTTAAATTTATTTCAGATTTTTTTAAATTTTCTTATTGTTTTAAGTTTTTTGTTATTTATATAGATTTCCTGAGAAAATTTCCATTTTGATATAAATTAAAATTAGTTTTATATTTTACCTGATTGACTTTTTCTTCAACTATACTTCTGTATGCAGCTTCAGCAAGAGCAAAAACATGAGGGTCCAAATCTCCAAAGCAGTTTTTATGATATTTATATACATATTCCTGTAAAATAAGATGAAATAAATATTACAAGATGCTATCAAAGACTAACATAGTTAAGAGAAATTATGAAATTTCGTCTAGGGCGAAAAAAAGAGCGCGATGAGGTGGGGGCCGAATCAAGGTGTCATGCGACCCGTGCCAAAGATCAGCCTGGCTGGGGGCCCCCGGGGTACCTGGCGACCACCGGATTAATTAGCCCAGCCCGGGTACACGGATCTCTGCTTGGGTGGTCATCCATTTCTCCGCCACTCGTGGTAATCACTATGGAGACATCAACACCTAACAAAAACAAGTAAAAAAGCTAAAGTCGGGTGTCCCGACTTTGAAATATTCTGTACATATGTTTAGAATAATTATAGAAATTAAAAAAAGAGAATTAAAAAAAAATTTTTTGATCGATTTTACCCCTTTTGGTATTCGACCTCACGTAAAGGGTGTACAATTGCACATATACAAAGCAATTGCGTCTATGTGAGTGTATGTATGCCTATGTGCATCTATTCGTGTCTGTGTAAACACGTTTGCAGTCAACCAAGCAGCAACATCAACAACAGCCGCGGGCAGCACTTGGGCAGCGGACAACAGCGCCATAGCTATTTCCGTGTACGCTTCAGCCATGCTGCGAACCGCCCGTAAAAAGCTGATGATGGTGAACATCGATGTTTTTACAGCTCTACTGTGAAGAATACCAGCAACAGACATCAAGACGAATCAAGCAAAATACAAAGTGCGACCATTTCAGCGGTTCTACTACACTCGACGACTTTGTTAAAAATCAAACACCTGGACCACGATTCGAAGTTCAGATATTTATTATCATTATTGATAACGTACTGTCGGTGTTAACTAAAAGTATGAAAGCATATCATAAGATTACTAGTGTTCTTGGAGTATTTCGAAAGCTAAAATCTCTTACAACAGAAGAGATTTTGGAATAATCCTCAAGGATTTGGAGAACAGCCTAGGTGGCGAATTAGTGCAGTTCGCAGAGCTGCTGAAAACTGATGTGGCTACTATTATTGACAGGAAGAAACAGGAACCTCTGGAACAGCAATTTTATAAACTTTTATTAAATAATTCTTTAGAATCGTGTTTTCCAAACCTGGAAATTTACTTGCGCATTTACTTATCTCTCATGGTCACTAAACGCAGTGGCGAACCTCCTTTTTCAACATTAAAACGTATTAAAAATGAATTCAGGAAAACGATGGGCCAAGAACGTCTTCATTATCTCACCTTGTTGAATATAGAGCATGATTTGCTAGAGAAGTCGATATTGAAAGTGTTATCTCTAAATTTGCCCATATTAAAAAATCTAGAAAAGTTTATGTGTAACAGTTTTGTTTTATTTAATACCCTATACTTTAGAACCCAAAGCAAACCAAGGGCCCCTTGACAGAATTTGCTACATTTGCTCAGGTGAGCAGAATGTGAGGTCAATGTGGGTAAGCGTATTGTGCGTACTCAGGTGAGTGGGCTTTTGTCATTAAGGATAATAAGGTTGGACTCCCTAATTAATTTATCTAATATGACACTTTTTGTTTGCCGGAGAGCCCCAGCACTTGTGCCATGAGTTGAAATCATCAGTAATTAAAGTAGGTTTGTTGTTAAGAGGGGTGAGAACTGAATAAAGGTTATTGAGATTAAAACTGGCTTTAGTTTGGAGATATGTAGAAATTATATTGAGTATTTTCTTGGATGGGATTTTTAAGAAGATAGCGTCAAAGTCTGTAGCTAGATTTATTTTTTTTTAAACTGAATTGACTTGTGGATAAGGATTCCAACTCCACCATACAATGCAGATGTGTTGAGTTACACCATTAAATAATTAGTGGGTATTGGATATGCGGAATCGTTCGAAACGTGGGTCTTGACAAAGCCATCCATATTCCACTGTACGATTTTTAACGACATAAGCGTATAAGGTTTTTACAAGTATGTATTTTATGTGTTTATACCAATATTAGTTCATTATCGGAGATGTATTCGGCGATGTTTTTATAGGATAATAGTGTATCAGCTGGTAAGTTTTTTTTTATATTAATTGAATTCGATTGTCTTTTATTTTTAGCTTTTAGGTGGCTTTTTGCACGGTTATAAATATTTTTTATAGACGTGCTTGAGGTAATAGGGTTAGGGTTGAGGGTTTGTTGTTAGTTTCATTGCTTGTATTCGTTGTTAATGTATCATTATATGTAGTGAGCTTACGATATGACATTAGGCAAGTGGTTTCAGAGGGAGGGTGGCAGGTGTCGATTAAATTAGTAAATGAGGGATTGTATACGTAGTCTTTCTCATTATTTTGGTTAAGTAGGTTAACCTTTAAGGTTGTTACTCTGCCGCGGGTATACTCGCCGGCCAGAGTTTATGCTGAAATAAATTAGGCACCCCAAAGTGCCAAGGTGTCCGCCAATAAAAGAGGGCGGTACGCCAAGTGAATATGTTCCACGTAGTTTTTTTTAATTTCTTACTACACAACAGGAGGGTGCGCTTCAGTGCGCGTTTGTCTACTTCTCAAAACGAACTCAAAATTTCTCTCCAACTTACAACTACTTACACCTACTTAAAACTACTCAACAGCACTCGGCATCGTGACAACGCCATTGGGAGTCTTCCCACGTCCGCCATCCGTCGCAAGCCATGTGCCTCCGCCCGCGAAAACATCACCCAACCAATGGGCTTTGTGGGGCCGTCGAACTCCTCCAGGACCACCATCGGCTGCTCGCTGGCCGTGTCATCGGGCTCCCAGGCCCACGCCACAAACATCGGCCAGGGGACTAGAGGCTGCGCCACCTGCGTCATCGTATGCCGCGCATGCAGCTCCTGCATGCATTTGGCGTAAGCCAGGCGCGCCTCCACGCTCTGCATGGCCCATTCCAGCCGTCGGCGCTGCTCGCTCTGCTCACGCTCTTTCCGCTGTCGTTCGTGCTGCCGCTGCTCCTTCTGCCGCAGCCTCTCGCGTCTCTGCTGCTCCTCCAGCTGCTCCCGTTGCGCCCGTTGTTGCCGCTCCCGCACTCGACGCCCCCCGCTGCGCCCACGGCGGCGACGTCGGTTGCCTGCCGGCGTCGGCGACCTCGTTCGGGCAGGTGCCCGGATTTGGCAGTTTCGGGGGTCGCGATCATATTCAATTTGCGCCCGGCGCCACTCCACCTGGTCCATATTGCTACTCTTCTTTTTTTTCCCTTTTCTATTTTTGCTGCTGTCGTACGACGCGTGCCGCTTCCCGCCAAGTGAGATATGGTTGTGCCGGCTGTTTTGGTAGCGCTGCCACTTCTCAATTTCGCGGTCCGCCAGTACTACCCATGCCTGGCGGTCTGTGGTGCGTGTTACCATTTATCACATTGCGATAGTGGATATCGTACCTCCTCGATAACACGTTATCGACGGCCGCCCGCCGCTCTGGCAACTCGTCATCACCGCCCCACATGTTTACGTTGTAATTGATTTCCGGTCTTCTGCTATTATTCAGCGTTGTGCCCATTTCTTTTTTTTTTTTTTGTTGAGCTCGTCCAGCCGCCCGCCCGGCGCTGGCCCATCCGCTGCGTCTCTGGTATATTCGGCGCTGTGTGTGTATCTCCGGCGGTGTGGTAATCTACATCGCTTTACATGGCCTGAAACGTAACAATAAACTTCGTTTAATTATGTTTGTAGGCTTACATGGGCATCTTCTTCGGCTAGAATGGCAGCTTTGCTGTTCCCGCTATGGTGGACGTCGGTGGGGTTGCTATTGTTGTTGTCGGTGTGGCTGCTAGGGGCCTGGTTGCTGTTGCTGCTGTTGTGTCTGCTGTGCGGCTGCTGCGAAGCCGGCTGCTGCCGTTGTGCTCGATGATGTGGCCGATGTTGTGGCCCGGACTGATGTTGCGGCTGCGGAGATTGGTGCTGCGGCTGCTGTTGTGGTCGCTGCCTTGGTCGGCTTCGCTGTCTTCTGCGTTCACCGCTTTTAGATCTCGCACATGTGCCTTTCTACTTCTGCCGCTCGCTACTGGTCGCACACGTACTATAACTGGGGATATGAATGCTCGCACCGTGAATGGCCCATCGAAGCGAGGCGCCAGCTTGGCCGCAAACTGCTCGGTTGCGTTGGACAGGTGATGTTGTCGCACGAGCACCTCGTCGCCCAGTATGAGTCGCCACTCGCGGTTCCGCAGATTGTACTGACGTGCCTGATCCTCGCTGGCCACCCCTTGGTTTCTTGCTATGCGGGCAACAAACTGTAGCAGTGTCGCGTGTGTTTTTGGGCTACTTGGTACTGCCTCAGGGGCGTCTGGATCCCTGCCGTACAGTGTGTGTGGATGCCTTGGTTCTCTCCCAAATAGGATGAAAGCCGGTGAGTAGCCCGTTACGTCTGAAATTGCTGTATTAATGGCCAATTGTGCTTCCGGCAGTTTTTCGTCCCACGTGTTGTGCTGCCCGTCCGCCAGCTGAGCAATCAATGTATTGACCGTTCTATTGGTCCGCTCCGTGGGATTCTCCTGAGGTGTATATGGTGCCGTCAGTTGTTGCTGTATGCCTGCCTCGGCGAGGAACTGCTTCAGCGCGCGACTCGTAAGTTGGGCTCCGTTGTCTGTAATGAGCTTTCTTGTTGTGCCAAACCGCGCCAGAGTCCGCTCTCGTAAGGCCAGATTCACTGCCGCTGCCGTCGCCTTGCGGATCGGGACCAGTTCTGCCCATTTACTGAACTTATCCACCAGGACCTGTAGATACGCGTTGCCTCGCTTGGACCGCGGCAGCGGCCCCACAAAATCGGCGCAGACAACGTCCCACGCCGCCTCCGCTGGTTTGAAGTGCATCTTGCCGGCTGTCAGTTGTTGCTGCGCTTTGTAACGCTGGCACAGCAAGCATTGGCGCATATACTTTGCGACATCACGATACAGCCCAGGCCAGTGGTAACGGTCTGCGACACGCGCTAATGTTCGACGCACTCCCATATGGCCCGCTGTGGCGTCGTTGTGGCACTCTCTCAACACCTCCTGACGTAAAGGCGTGGCCACGCATAGTCT